AGGGTTATGGTCAAATGTCACCTTATTGGAGAATTCTTTCTTGACCACACTGTACAAATTAGCACCCACTTGGGCACCCCCGATTCTTCCCTGTTCCATTCCTCTTCACAGGATTTATCAATGCATACCATTGTACATATAGTGTACATGTGTATATATGCACATGCATATAACATGTATTTGCATTTATTCCAGGAAAGCAGAGATTTTATGTGTTTTGCCTACTCCTGAATAGAATGCCCAGAATGATGCCTGGTTCACAGTTGATGACCAGTAAATATGTATTGAGTTAGCGCTGCTGAGATAGAGTAAGAAACAAGCAGAGGAGCAGATGCAGCATATAGGGCCTGAGTGACAGTGCCACTTGTTTAGATAACACTGAGGATTTGCAAAGTGAGAATTGGGATCTTCTGCTCTGAATTTTCTGCCTGTGTCTACTACAAGTTCACAGAAGCCTTCACTCCCGCTGCAGCTCGTGGAAGACTGTGACAAATCCAGGATAAGGGGTTCTGAACTCTTTATTAACCCTGTTAGTAAAGACTCCGTGCCTGAGACTTAAGTGACATCAGTTTGAACTGAATCTCATGACTGATGTTTTAGATGCTGTTGATGCTCCTCCCCTCCTGCGCATGGTTTCAGATAAACGACTGGCCTTTGAGTTCAAGCGACAATATCACAAAGTGTTCTTTTTAACACAAAAAAATTATTTTTTTAAGAGCTGCCCATTTTCCTCATTCCTGTAGATGCCCAACCAGGTTGACTCGTTGGAGTGCATTTTCTGCATTCTTAATAGATAGCTAGCAGGAAACGCCTTTATATAGCCCAGCTAGAGGGGTAGAAAGTAGCAAGGGGAGGGTATAAATGCCCAGCTCTTGCTTCCCTGAGCACAGAGCCATCGTGGAACAGGTCACACAGCTCTGACCATCCAAACACAACTTTGCCTGACGGAGGATCTTGCCCTGTCTCAGGTGATGACCCTGAATTAAGGTAGGGGAAGCCCTGCTTTTTGAGGGGGTAGAGGGATGGAACCCCAACTGGGATGGAATTGGAGGACATCAATGATTTTTTTTTTTTTGCCAGGGAGGTACAATCTGGATTTTTTGCGCTTTTGGATTCAAGATCTCATTATGACAATCATCCCTTATTACTGCTCACCCCACCCTCAGAATTCTGGGTACCATTTTGCAGAACTGTTAAAAAGGTTCTGTGCAGGCAGACTGTGAGAGAGTTGAGGTCAAACTGCTGGCTTTGGGGTTTGTGTTCAAAGACTTTTTGTAGAAGTTTGGGCAATGTTTTCACATCCACTGGTCTTCACGGTTGGTGACTGATGTCCCCTTAGATGCATCGTTACAGCGTTTCTCTTACCTAGATTGGGACCACCCCCAAATTTGGTCACAAATGAAGAGACTTATTATAGAGGGCTCTTTTGAAGATGCAACTGCTGCTGAAGCTTCTCCAGGGGTGCACTGAGATCAAGTTCCTTTTAGGACTAAGCCATACGATGGCACGTATATGTATGGTGCACAATATTTGTTTATCTATTGGTGTATGTATTTTTAAATTTGAGAATCAAGGAGAGAGGGATAGGGGTGTGTGTGTGTGTGTGTGGGAGAGAGAGAGAGAGCTGGAGAGAGCAAGAAGAGAGAGAGAAAGAAAGAGAACCTTCCATCTGCTGGTTCACTCTTCAAATATCTGCAACAGTTGGGTTTTGGCCAGAAAAAAATCTAGGACCCAAATGCTTGTGCCATTCTCTGTTGCCTTCTCCAGAGCATTAGCAGGGAGCTGCGGTGGGGAATAGCACTGGAACTCAAACCCATAAACTCTGACAAGGGCCACTCTCAAGCAGTGTCTTAACTGTTTTGCCAAATGCCTGCTCCTGTTCTCACTTCTTATATCCGTCAAACAGGAGTACGGGTTCTCTCCGTTGGGGTCAAAGTTTGACCCAGGAAATCATTTGGGAGCTAGATTCAGAGAAGTGGCCCATTTCTTTCATATGGAGTGTGTGTCATACTTTGAGGAAGGGATGAAGTGCAGAGGTGTTAGTTGTGCTTTATTCAGGACCCCCAGTGTCCCAGGCTGAGCATCTGGGGGTGGTGGGACTGCAATGTTGCCTCTGACATTCTCTAACTCTCCCAACTATGATCAGTTGTCCTGTGGACTCGCCCCAAGGAGCAAGCTTCAGGGTTCTGTTGATCTTATGGTCCAGCAAGCTCTTTCAACTGTGGCTTCAGGGGGAGTTTGCAAAGATAGCTTGCAAGCTGTATCAAGTCTAGAGCAGTGACTGGTGGCAATACTGAGAGTGAAAAGCACTAGTTCTTCAAAGATGCTACCTAGCAGATAGGAGCTCCCAGAAGAAGCCTCAGGGGGAAGAGCAGGGGGCAGTGCACACTCCCTGGAGGAAACCAGTTGGCCAGTTTAGGGTCTTTGCTTGAGGCTTGTTTGGCATTAGGGGCTGTCCTGCTGAATAGAAGGGGAGACTGTAGCTTACAGACAGGAAGGTATCATTTGACCCACCAGTTAGGCAGTAAACATGGTAGAATAAAGACAGATGCTAGAGCAAAAGATATGGGGCTAAGGGCTAGATATGGCTTGCATTCTGGCACAGCAGGTAAAGCTGTCATTGGCAATGCTGGCATCCCATATGGGTGTTGGTTCAAGTTCCAGGTGCTCCACTTCTGTTCCAGCTCCCTGTTAATGGCCTGTGAAAAGTTCACTTCTGATCCAGGTCCCTGTTACTGGCCAGAAAAAGCAGTAGGAGATGGCCCGAATGTTTAGGTTTCTGCACTCATGTGGGAGACTTGGATAAACTTCTTAACTCTTCGCTTTGGACCAGTTTGGTCTAGTCCTGATTGTTGCATCTTTTGGGGAGTAAACTAACAGGTGGAAGACCTCAACATCCCTGTCCTTGTTCCTCTCCCTTTCTGACTTGCCTCCCTCTGTCTCAGCAGGGAGGAGGGCTTGAAGCATCACTCTGCTCCTAGACATGTGCTGTGAAATATGTCTAGTTTGTCCACCTTATATAGATAAATAAATGAATAAATAACTTTCTAAAAACATTACTTTATAATTCATGGCTCTTTGATGTATTTCTACATCTCCAGATATCTGAAGATATAGAATATTTTTTATTGGGAAATAATTTTCTTACAATGAAATGCCCAGATTCAAAGCATACAATTTGTTGCATTTTGACAAAAATGTTTATTCATGTAGTAACCACCATCCTCATCCAGATGTAGGACACTTCCTATGTCTCTGAAGCTCTCCTTTGGCCTTTTTCCTTTCCTGGTTCAATCTCCTGCCCATAGGCAGCCACTATCCCAACTTGTAGCAACATAAAATATTTGTGCTTGATCCATGTATGTGAAATCATACAACATGGAGTTTTTGTAGATGCTTAATATAAGTATCTTGATGTTGATCCATGCTGCTGTGTGGATTTATAGTTTGCTTCTTTTTATTGTTGAGAATCATGCCTTTGCATAAATGTGGCAGTTAATTTTTAATTAGCATAGTGACAGACTCCACATCCTTCCATTTTTTTGGCTATGATAGATAAAGCTGATATGAACATTCATGTACAAGTCTTTGTGTTGATCTAGTTTTTATTTCTCTTGGTTGTATGTTCCTACAAGTGAGATTATTAAGTCACATGGTAAGAAATGCCTAATGTTATAAGAAGCTAATTTTCCAACTCATTGTTCACATACATGTAATGTATTGATATCTTCAGGAAGTGTCTGGTTCTGGCATGTTGTCAATCAGTGCAAACAGCATGGCAGTGCTCAAATACTTCTCTAGGCCACATCTAAAATAATTCTGGAAGAAGAACTAAGAAAGAACTCCTTACTCATTGCCTGTTACTGTTTCCTCAATATAATATGTTGACACTTCTAGTGGAATCCTAAACAATGAACTTGTAGTATTTACGTGCACCAACTCTCTCTCTTTTTTTTTTTTTAAATGTAAGATGACTATGGTGCTCAGAAAGGCCATAGAGTTCCTCTGAAGTTAGGTAGACAAGGGTAACCTCAGGTTATCTGACTCCTTTTCTAATGTGATTTTTTTTCATTGTGCTTTTTCTGTGTGAAATGATAGTCATTCAACCATCATTTACAGATCAAGTGCTTGTGCTATTGGCTATCAATAAAGCATATGGAATGCTCTGGATCCTCAAATATCTCATAGATTTAAGAGGGAGATAGCTTATTATACTCAAGTCATTTCGATTCTACACAGAAAAAGAAATAGATTAAATCCATGTTTAGGCAGAGCTCCAGACAATTCAGGTTGGTCAGTTGAAGGCACAAAAGATGGAGATGTGCCCTTTGCTGCTTGGGCGTGGCCACAGCATATTTGTGATTGCTGGTTTCTAAAATGGAGTGTGTGCGGTTGAAGCCCATGATCTTACCCAGATTAGGGCATCAAGAGCAGTAGGAGGATTTGACGTGTTTTATTATTTTGCATGGAAGTGGTCAACCTGGAAGTCAGTGCTGATCACATCGGCTGAAATTGCCAGTCTCCCATCAGATTGTTTAGCCAGAGCCTCCAGGGAATCTGATGCCCACAGATATCTCTGGCCTGACCTTGTCTCATTCATTTGGGAGAAAAGAACCTTCTCAGGAGATAAGTTATGGTGCTATATTGTCTCAATGATCTTCCACTTCACTCTTCATTTCTTGATGCTTTCATGGTCGTGTTGGCTGATGATTCCTCTCATTGGTAAGACAAAACCCCTTTGAGTATTTTGTATAAGTTTGTCTTCATGTTTCCTGAACACTGATTAGATAAGGTTGATCCTGAGACCAGCAGAGCATTGTTGTTCACCTTCAAAAGCTCAAAGACTCCTTGAGGCCCCGGTGATAGCCTGTACTGGTGGGAACAGACTGCTTGTCCCCAAAGATGCTGTTCATCTAAACTACATCCAAGCCACTTGATAACATAGTAACAATGGCACTTTGCATTTGGTCCGCAGCTCTCGTATTTGTGGCTCACCAATAATGGAAGAAACGAGGAAGACTGGCGGCCAGCAGGCCAGACGTAGGCAGAGTCCTGTAATGACAGAGTGGAGTTCCAATTGCGTCATTTTCAACTATTTCCAAGGAGACATTGGCAGCGTAGTGGATGAGCACTTCTCCAGAGCTCTGAGCAACATCAGGAGTCCCCAGAGACTGGTAACCTCAAGCATGAATGAAGATGTGATCCTAAGGAATGGTGAGCATGTTAAGAGGGATGTGGGTGGAATTTCCTGTGAACTACTCAGCTCTGAAGTGCTTGATGCATTAGATGTGTGTATTCACTAAAGACAGATTCCCTTGTCCAGTGAGAAGTTACAACTCTTCTTAAAAGTTTAATATAAAAGGGACCTGCTTAATCAACTTAATTGACCCATTTCATTAATTTCTGTAACCACGTTAAATGCTGAGTGTATTGCTGAGCATGCACTGAGAGCTTTACAACTGTGTTCAATTAACATCATTAACAATACTATTATTATGATTATCATTAATATTGGCCATAATGAGAAAAAGAATGTCCCAGTAATTGCCCCCAGGCTCTTGTCAACAAATACTAGATGAGTAGATGAGCAAGGGCAGGAGCCAGGGGGAGAGCTGAAAACTCTTGCCATATCCCCCCAACACAACATCTTTCACAGAGCCAAAGGTGTGTGTCCCACATATTCTTTGGCAATTAAAACAAGAGAGAGAGAGAAAGCAGTTTTGAGAAAATGAAAGTGTGCAAGTTTGGAGAAAGAGGTAGACACTAAGCTGACAGGGGCTGCAGTCTGACTTTTCATGGAGTCACATAGTATCATTCATCTGGCCCTTCCTCCATAAAAATGCATGTTCCAACTGCTTTTGCATAGAGGCAAGTACAAGTCAGGCTAGCTTCATTTTTAAATATATTCACTATCATTATCATATTCATCTTTTTGCTTTTGGTTTCAAAATATTTTACTGGGTACCTGAAAACATTCATGGCCCCGTGGGTGGCTCCTGGGCATAATGAAGTTCTCCCTGTCCGGTGATGTGAACTAGTTCAGTGCCTCTACTTTTTTTGTAATGTGCAAATTCACCAGGGTATGGCTGATTTTTCAAAAAGATCTTTATTGCTGGTGCCAAGTACACATGTTGAATGTCAGAGGACCTGTGTGTCTCCAACAAGGCTGCTTCATGCAAAGCAAATGAACAGGCTCTCTGACTTTGGAGTTTAGCTGTTTCCAGAAGCCAACACTTTTGGATTTGTACACGGTGGTGGTGTGTAGGTGTTGTACTAACTTTGGCAGAATTCTTTTCTGTCCTAGGAATTACTTTACTGCGAAGTAATGTGATTCTCTCAAAAAAATATTGTGGGTTAAGTCAGTATGTGGAAGAGCAAGTGGTAGCAGCAGGTGCTAAAGAGAACCACTGTGAAGCTTATTGCTAAAACGGGCACAAGGGGGCAGTGGAGAGAGTGGAGGTGGTGAACCCTGAATCTGTTAAATGATTGTGATCATGAGTGGCTTGGGGGAGTGACACTTTGCAAGAGCTAATAAATGTGCTGTATAAAATTTGGAAGATCTAGCTAAGTGCTTTGTAGGGTCAAAATCCCAGGCACTTAACACGGAGACAAATAGGCTGATGTCAGCTATTTGACTTTAAAAAATTTTTATAAATATATTTTTCCATGTGTTTAACACTTCAATAGGTAACAAAATCAGCAAATGGAAAGCAGAAAATAAAAACAATGACAAGGAACAGAAAAACACAAGCCCAGCAAAAAAAATTAAAAACCTATTGTTCCTCAGGTATATAAACAATATAAACAAAGGTTCTGTATGTTTTCTCTCTTTAATCTGTGATAACTAATACACAGAGTAGAAAAATTGCAATCTATTGATACAAGAGTGACACTCTGGGATTTGATTATTGTGACTCTATTTCTGAAAACACAGGCTCATATTCATTAAAGTCATTTCCCCATAAATACCATCAATCCGTACTCCCTCGTTTCCTCTGTTCTACCCGCCTCTTAAAAAATTAAACTGAGATGAAAACCAGCTTTTGATCTATTACCTTGCATCTCTGCTTTACTTGCAGCAAAACTCAATAGTGACATTGAGGCACATTTTTCCTCTTCCTCTCCTCTGGGCTCTTTACACTCCACCCATGCTTTTATTATCATGAGATCTTGAGCCTTCACATGATGTGGTCACTTGGAGAGTGAACCAGCAGATGGAAGATCTTTCTCTCTGTTTTTCCTTCTCTCTGGAAATCTGCCTTTCCAATAAAAATAAGTAAATCTTTAAAAGAGACCACTCTAATTAAGATTACCCTTTCTCTCTCCTAATCTTCTTTGATCTATTAGCCACATCAGCTGCATTGAACTGCACCCTCCTTCTAGAAACACTTCCTGTTACTACTGCTCTTTAGTCTCCTTTGCTGATGTCCCTGTGTGTCCAGCTTCTTTCTAAATGTTCCAGAGCTCCAGGGCACCGATCTTAGGCAATTTCCTGTTAACTGCATTCGTTCCCTAGGTGATTTCTTCTACTCCTGATCTTAAATGCCATCTATTTGCATGAATCCCAAATACCCATCTGCAGCTCAGAATGGATATCAGATCTATGTAACTGCCTCCTTGGGATCTTCACTTCTTGCATCCAAGAGGAACAAAAATGTCTGCAACTATCAGAGCTGAGGAAGGCTGAAGCCAGGAGCCCAGAATTTGATCTGGGTCTCCCACATGAGTGATAATGACTCAAGTACTTGAGTCATCACTGCTGCCTTCCAAGGTGCTCATTAGCAGAAAGCTGAGCTGCAAGCTCAGGAGTCAGGATTCAAACAGGGCTCTGCTTTGGCAGCTGAACAGCTGCTCCGAGTGTCTGCTCCTCAAATGAACTCTTAGTCTCCACTTCAACCTTCTCTCAATGCCTCTCAAAGCCCACCTCAGTAAATGGCAAGCGTATTCTTTGAATTCCTTGGAGTCATATTGAACACCTTTCTTTATCTCACACTCTATATCCAATCGTTTGGGCAATTCTGTTGACTTTACCCTCAAAATAGCCAAACTCTCCATGTCTCCCCACTGCCACTGCTGTCACTTTTGTTCTAGAGGCCATAGTCTCCCTTTTGTAGTAGTTCAATAATCTCCTAATTGGTCTCAGCCCTTTTGGCTTTGTTTCCTTTCAGTCTGGTTTCAAGATAATGGTGAGAATGGCCAGTCAAATGAAAGTCCTGTCGCGGTACTTTTGGGTTCAAAATGTTTCAATAGCTTTCCATGTCCCTTGGAATCTAATCCAAACTTTGTTAACAGGTCCCAATCTCATCTGGGCCCTTGTTGCCTTTCTCATCTTCTATCCTACCACTTTGCACGCCACCCACTTCAGTTTAGCCTCCCCAGTACATGTAGTCTGTACTTCGTAAGTCCTTCGGCAGGTTCTCCTTTTGCACTCTCCCAGGAATGCTATGTCGCCAACATCTGCACCATTTCCCTTTCCCTCATATGAGTTCTCCAGTGTCACTGCCCCAGAGAAGCAACCTTCTTTGAATAATCTACATGCAAAATATAAGCTGTTACTCAGTCACTCTGTCTTCTTGCTGTATTTCATTTTTATTCTAAGCATTTGTCATCACCTACCATATTCTGTGTGCATATACTCCCTGGTTGACCACCCTCCCCTGCCTTAGACTCTTGATTCCACTGTAGCAGTGATTCAGTCTATTGACTGCTACTTTCCAGGTACCTGGCACAATGCTTGACACACAGAGAAGTTACTCAATAAATGGTGCTTGAATGAATGAAATTGTACTTTGAATCAGACAGGGTTACCATAGGAATGTATGTGGTATGTTGCGCAGCTTTACAAACAGGCTGATTGGGACCAGGCTGCTTCTACTAATAGTGTGATGTGAAGGCGTATCAGATTGCCTCTCAGCGATTTCCTCACCTCAAAAGCAAATACTATTTAACTCTACAGGCGTGAACGAGGAGTGAATGAGGAAATGCATGCCAAGTGTTGCGTAGTAAGTACTATGTTGGGGCTAGTCACTTTGTGGGCAAAGTGTTAATGCTGCACACATGTTTTTGAATGGCTAGAAAGCAGAAGTTAAAGGCATTAGGATCACAGAGCAGCAGGCTTCTCCCGTAAGTGTGTAAGTTCTCTGGGGCGTTCTGTTGGTGGCTGCTAAGGTATTTTCTGTGCCTCCTGACTCCACCTTGCGTCACTGTGAGAGGTCTCTGCACCCTTTCGGAGCTTGGCTATGACCCTGTTCTTTGGCCAAGAGAACTTTTCTCTCTGCCCGATTTCCTAGTTGTTTCATTTTCCCTGCTGAGTATCTCACAAAGTCTTTGACTGTAAAGATGTCGCTTCTCTCACAAAGAGGACAAGTGAAATATTTGTCTGCTACAGGGGAAAGGCTGTGTTCCTTAAGACCCCTCCTAATACATCTAGGATTCAGGTTTCTCCTCTGTTTTGCTGCTTGGGGCAGGCCCTGTGAAAAAACTCCAATCCCAGATTCTCACTGGTGGGATTGGATGGCATACACCAACATTTAAAATGGTGCAAAATCTACAAAGCGACCTTTTGTGACTGCCCTTACTTAGTGAGCTCTCGACTCCTGCAGCCAGCACTAGGCCACCCAGCCCTGACTATGCCATGCCAAGGAAAGCAGAGCCTCATTCATTGGTTCCCATGACTGATTCATCTCCATTTTAAGGACGCTTTCTCAAGCCAAATAAGTGCAACGCCCATATTTAGACACCCATGTGGCTAGGAAATGCCATTGAATTTCCTAGCTGGTTTTCCCAAACCAAAGTGAGTCTTAAAATATTCTTATCTATCATTTATACTGAGTGTACTTCAGGAAAAAACAATCCCACAATTTGAAGGTGTTTTTGAGTCATCTTCCTTTAAGAGAACATCAGAGAGGCATCGGAGACTATGACTTCTGGAGTAGAGGGTAGAGGAAAGCACACACCGTGCATGAGCTTGGATGCTTTCTGTTCTGCTCCAAGGTTGTTCCCAAGCCTGGCCACAGGCCTGATGATGTGCTTCAGGGCTGCTCAGAGCAGGTGGAAGGATGCAGAGCTGCGCACGCAGCAGACCTTTACAGCTATGCTTTAAAAAGCTTCCTCTTCCTTTGGTCTCCCCTCCTTTCTGCCCTAAGTGGTGTAGGGAAACAATGCTGGGTTTGTGTTTTAGTGTAAGTATCTACATGAGATCCACATATTCTAGT